AAGAGTGCCAGTACGATCATGCTTCATGATACATGTAAGGGTTATGATTGTCTTGTATGTGTCACCCATGTTTCCTTTCATGTTCCTGAGTTGCCATGGTAGTCCAGATATCCTGACTTCATAGGAGAAGAGCAAAGACAGAAGGGAACGAATTCCTGCTTTTGGAAGGTCTGGGGGAGAAGTGGATGTTTTTGTGAGCGTCACTTGTGAGAGAGGTGATCATGGGCTGCCTGCCAGGGAAGAGGACAGTACTGTGTCTGAGAGCCCAGACTGTTCTTGGAGTCAGGCTAGAGAGACAAAGGACATCCCAGGGGCTGAGTGCCTTCCCCAGCATCATGCCTCGATTCTGCACTCCTGAGGACTGGTGCTGCCCAGGCCACTTCCTGACTTGGGAATGTGGACCAGTTACTAAACTTCTCTGTGTTTCAGTTTCGTCAGTTGTTTTGTTTTCTGAGGCAAGGATTAGCATAGTCTAGGATAGCCTTGAACGTGCTGTATAGTTGAGGGTGAACTTGAATTCCTGATCCCCTTGTTGCTACGTCCTAAGTGCTGAGATTATGGGCCTGGACCACCCAGCAGTTTCCTTATCAGTGAAGCTGTCTGCCTTATAGGGTGGTGGTGAAGATCAAATGAGTTGGTATAGAGAAGGGTCTTAGTAGCGGTTAGTGGTTGTGGTTGCTGCTGTTCTTAACTACTGGGTCTCTGGCAGTTTACTCAGCCTTCAGTGGAACCCTAGTTCTAATTTCCTCTCGCTCTCTGTCTCTGACCTTCCCCAACCATGTAGCTGGGATGACAGGCATGTATCACTATGTCCAGCTCTAAGTTGTGTAGCCAGTGAGCTGTGGCATATAGCTGAGTCTTCCAGAAACTTAGTTTGCAGAAAGCAGTGATATAAGGTATATAATAACATTGAGGTGTCAGAAAAAAATAACACAGGCTTTTTGGGCTTCTAAAATCTTCCATTTTTATTTGTAGATTAGCATGTGGAACTTCAGAATGGCATTTTCCCACTGTCCATTTGGAGTACAATAAGACAAATTAATACAAATCAAAATAATATGGTAGCAGCATCATATAATTTGTGTATACTGATGTAGTAACAGATTTAATTTAGTGCAGCTTTGGAGAAGTCTTTTGTATTTCAATTTATACAGCTGCTATCCAGGGCTAGGCTGGCCAATCTCAGCTTTGAGCATCTTGCAGTGAGAATCTCTTTTGACGTCTGCTGACTGGTAGAGCAATTGCTTCTTCCCTGGTTCATCTTCAATTTCTCTTTTGAAAAGAGGAGACTGTGTATAGTACTAAATAAAGGTGGTTGGTGAGTAATAATAAAAGCAGCAAAGGATGCTAAGCTTTCTAAGCTGGGACTGACAGGGTGCGCTTTGTCTCCAGGCTTCCTATGAGCTACCGTTAGAAGCAAGATACTTTACAGATGTGAGTGGGGCCAGGAAGATCAAGGAGTGGCTGCTAAACTAGCCAGTTAGTCCTAGGGAAACGTGTCAGGAGCCATCTCATCAAGGCTGAAGAGTGAGCAGGATGTGACCAGTGGTCGTGACAGGAAGGGAGGGGGACATATGGTCCACCACAATGGGGATCAGGACGCTTTGTTGTTATTTTTGATGTTTTAAAAATAGATGAGAGTTGAGTGATAGGAAAAAAATGAGTAGGAATCCTGGTGTGGTGAAACACACTGAGAATCCCAGAATGTAGAAGACAGAGAGAAGGAGCAGGGTTGTGTGTTGGAGGTTAGCCTGGGCTACATAGTGACACTGTTTCAAAACACACGAGAAAGAAAAGAGAAAAAGCAACTAGTAGGAAGCAGAAAGGGGAAAGCTAATAGGTTATACAGTGGCTGTTAATGCAGAACAAGGTGTCTGAAAAGGTACAAAGTAGATTCAAAACCATCTAGTCAGGCATGGCGGTGCACACTTCTGATCCCGGACCAGGGACACAAAGGCAGGTGGATTTCTAATTTCAAGGCCACTCTGGTCTACAGAGTTAGTTCCAGGCACATGTGTGGAGGTTAGAGAACAGCTTGTGAAAGTAGGCTCTCTCTCTCCTTCTACTATGCAGGCTCTAGGGATTAAACACACATCATCAGGATTGGTGGCAAGTGCTCTTGCCGGGTGAGGCATCTTGCTGGCCCAGCATAAGGTTTCATGGTGATGGTCATAGATGCCCACTGCCTAGCATGTATCAGAATATCTGATTGGATGAAGGAAAGTAGATATTCAGTGAAATGACATTGTTTGTAGAACATCACTCTTTTCTGGGGTGTGATCACATACACACAGACACACAAATGCACCAGTAACTCAGCTTTTGTCAAGAGCCACTCTTGTAAATAGCCATGGCTATGGATAGCAGCTTCAGGCCTTCAGCATTAACCTTTGCATGCTGTTTGTACTGATTGTGAGGTGGGGAAGTGGCCAAGGAGGTGGGAAATGGGAGTTATGTGGGTATAGGTGTGCTCCTGTCTTCCCACTTTTCCTTAATAAGTTGAGGCATTTGAAGCTTTATTTATTATTATGTACGTGGAGGTCAGAGGACAATCCACCTTCCACCTTTATGAGGGTCTTAGGGATCTAACCCAGGTCATCAGGCTTGCAAGTCGAGTGCCTTTACGTACTAAGTCTTCTTGCTGGGCTAAACTGAATGGAAGGTTTCCGTATATAAACAAGTTGGCATGGTGAAAATCCCTCAGTAAACAGAGTGTCAGAGTTTATAGCAGGTTGCTTTTGGTTTTGTTTCTGGTTTCTTCAGCACTTTATGAAACCAATGTCCTCTGCCCAGCGCACTGGGACACGGACTGATTTTTATGGAATGTTGAGTTACTTGATTCTAGAGTTGCAATGGAAGTCATTAAAGGTGATTGGATGGGTTGCAGTTTTGTCTGTTGGTACAGACAGGATGCTGACGGAATCACATTTGGACAGGTGGAAGGTATTCTAGGTAGTGGGATGACAGTGAGGGGATCAGGGGCAAGGGAACCAGTGCTGCAGCCCAACATGCGATAATGATTGTCTGAGCTAGGGTCATGTTTGAGGAAGGGGAGGAGGGAATGGATTTTACATTGAGCATTCATAGGAAAGAGGTTGTAAGAAATAGGGTTTCCTAACTTGGTTAAACTCCAGGAAAGTGAAAAGAACATTTTTCTCTGATTGTGAGATTCTAATTTTTGTTTTTTCTTTTTGTTTGTTTGTTTGTTTGTTTGTTTGTTTTTAGAAACAGGGTTTCTCTGTGTAGTCCTCTGGTTGTCCTGGACCTCACTTTGTGACCAGGCTGGCCTCAAACTCAGAGATCCACCTACCTCTGCCTCCTGAGTGCTGGGAGTAAAGGAATGTGCCACCACCACCTAGCTTCTGAAATCTTTTAGTATCAGGTACAATTCCAAGCAGGAATTCAGTGCTGACGCTGTACTAGGAATGAGCAGCGTATTCCCAAGTGAATGTGGTTTTCCTTCATATGCTGGCTGCAAGTGGGATGTCCTGGTACCCATATCTCTGCCTGGACAACTGTGGATTCAGGGACTTCCATAACCTTTCCCACCACAGGTTTGGTAACTATCGCTCAGATAACTGAAGTTTATAACTCATTTTACTATAAAGATGCAACCCTAGGAAATGAGAAAGAATCGAGGATGAGGCAGGTATGCCTCCCTCCTAGTACATAGCTCTGTTCACTGACTGGGAAGCGCTCGGATCTCTTTGCTTAAGAGTACTTATGAAGCTCAACCTCCCCAGAGCTCCTGCCCCGACCCCGAGAGTTCTGTGCGTGGGGCTGAAAAGTCAGTCTTCTGCTTGCTTCATCTTTTTGACTACCGTCTCTGTCTTGGAACTGTCTAAGTCAGAAGGGGGTCATTATGAATAACAGAAGGCACACCACTCAGGAAATTAAAAGATGTTATTAAAAATAAAAAGATTAGCCGGGTGGTGGTGGCATGCGCCTTTAATCCCAGCACTTGGGAGGCAGAGGCAGGTGGATCTCTGAATTTGAGGCCAGCTGGTCTACAGAGTGAGTTCAGGACAGCCAGGGGCACACAGAGAAACCCAGTCTCAGAAACCCAAATAAACAAACAAACAGTTTTTATTTCTATGTATGTGTGGATTTATATGCACCACACGTGTGCAGGGGTCTGTGGAGGGCAGAGGGTACTGGGTTCCCTGGAGTCTTTAGATCATCACTGTGTGGTGCCTAATGTGGGCTCAGGGAACCGGCCCTCCTAAAGAGCAGGTAATGCTTTTCCTGGCTAAGCTACCTTTCCTCCACACTTTAAAATTTCTTTGAGACATTTTCTTACTTTATAGCTCTGGCTGGCCTGGAACTTGCTGTATAGACCAGGCTGCCCACAAATTCACAGAGCTCTGCCTATGTTTGCTTCTTGAGTCCTGGGATTAGTGGCATGTACTATCATCTCTGGCCTGTTTGTTTGTTTATCTTTCTAGATAGGGTTTCTTTGTGTAGTCTTGTCTGTCCTGACTCACGTTGTAGATCAGGCTGTCCTCGAACTCACAGAGATCCACCTGCCTTTGCCTCCTTGAGTGCTGGGATTACAGGTGTGCACCACCACACCTGGCTCTCTGGCCTCTATAAACTGAAACAAAACAAAACAAACGAACGAGTATGTGTGTATAACTCTGTGTGGGTTTGTCACTTGAGCACAGTAACCACAGGCCAGAAGGGGGCGTCATATTTTTCTAGAGATGGAGTTGTGAGGCACGCCACATCGGTGCTGGGAGCTGAGCTCTGCTCTGCATGCTTAACCACCAAGTCATCTTTCCAGCCCCCACTCAGGGAAGTCTGAGGATTGTCTTCAGGAACTCTTGACCAGACTTAAGGGGCAAGGACCAAATAGCCTGTAATCATCCCACTTGGGGGAGAAAGGCAGGAGGATCTGCAGCTGCAACGCATTCTCAGCCGTGTAAGGAGTTGAGCTGCTACGCGAGACCTTGTTGAAATGAAGGAATGAAGTCTAAAATCTCGTATGCTTTTGTTTATAGCTTACACAGCCCAGACATCTGAGGGTGTACGCCCGACAGCCGCTTCCGAGGCCCATTCAAAAGCTCTGGCCGTTTGCCACGGACTTTTGGACCACTATGAGTTTCTGATCAAAGCTCAGGAGCTGAGGGATGATGAGCATCAAAGAAGAGTCATCCAGAGCCTGCAGAAGTTACAGGAGGACCTTAAAGGATACAGCATAGAGGAAGAAGGGCTCTTTTCAAAGGTGAGGCGTTTTCTAAAGTACATTCAGTAGGTGCTCAGGGCGGGGGTCGGGGGGGAGGGGACAGACAGCCCTGAGGTCACACAAAGGTCGGCCACAGGCTGGCCTGGATCACGGATTCAAGCAGCTTCATAATCATTAAATCATGTAGCCCTGGCTAAACGAAGCTTCTATTAGACTCCCTCCACCCTGCCTCCCACCCCTACCCCAAAACCCATCCCTGTCGGGGTCCTCAAGCCTCATCCTGGAAGGTGGCGTGGAAGGGGGTGTGGCCACTTCTCCTCTCCTCTTTTGCTTTGCTACATTTCTGTGGGTTAGGAGGACAGAAGAGTAGGTCGAACAGCAGCCTTAGGTGCCCTGGGACAGTAGGAGACGCTAGCGCTTTGTTAAGGTGCCCCTTGGTGAGTTCCAAAAGCCTCCAGGGGGACTTCCATGGTGTCCCAGTCTTTGACTGCCTTCTGGTGATCTGGAAAACACCCAGCCAGTAATTTTCATTTTTAAAATGTTCTTGAAGGATTCGGATAGATTGATAGGCCCTTGCCTAGCATGCTGGAGACCCTGGCTTTTATCCCGGTACTGCAAAACATAGGAACAAACAAAAATAAACCCACAAATACTGAAAAAAAAAATCACTTCTGAATATTAAAAAAAGTTTTGTGCTAGGTGTAGTGGCACATCTTGGATCCCAGTACTTGGAAGGCAGAGGCAGGTGGATCTCAATGAGTTCGAGGCCAGTATAGTCTACATAGAGTGAGTTTTATGACAGAGCTTCATTGAACCTGTCTTGAAAAAAAAAAAAAAAACAAAACAAGAAAAAAAAGTCGTTTAAAAATATCTTTATTTTGTTATTTTGTGTATGTGGGTGTTTGGCCTGTATGTGTGTTTGTAGACCACATGCATGGATTGTCCTTGGAAGCCAGAAGAGTACATCCTGTCCCCTGGAATTGGAGTTACCGGTGCATATGAACCGTCATATGGGTGCTGGGAATCCAACCAGGGTCTTCTAGAAGAGCAGCACGTGCCCTTGTCACTCAGCCATCCACCCTACCCAGCCCCAAAGTCTTTCTTTTTATATAAATAAGAAAGCAGCTGTTGTGCTAATCTATTTTGATTGAAGGAAATAGTGACTCCCCTGTGTTAAAGTGAGAAATAGATATTGAAGATTAAAACCACATACGAAAATACATTTCCATCATCAATAGGCCTTGTAGTGCCTTTGCCATTCATTCAATCCACTGTCTTCAGCATCTTAGGCTGTTAAACAAAGTACTTTTGGCTAGAAGAGTAAAAAACAGGAAATAATTTCTCATTGTTGAGAAGCTAGGAAGTTCATGATAAAAGTGTTGGCAAGTTTGGTGACTGGAGAAGGCCTGCCTGTGGCTTCTGAACTGTGGTTTATCTTTCTGTGTTCTCAAGTGATCCCACTCATGATGAGCTGTGGCTGTGGTCTGTTGGGAATTTGGAAGTTGTGGGGCTTTTAAGAGGGGGACGTGGTGAGGTCTTTAGGTCATCAAGGATGCTTTTCTCTGAAGCAATTAAAGTTCTCAGCGGAGTTGTAAGGTGAGCCTGACAAGGTCTTGCCCTGCCTTGGATATTTTTTTGTTTGTTTGTTTTGTTTCTATTTTTGAGATAGGATCCCTCGTATGTACACTTGTGGTGTGTGTGTCTAGACTGTAGGTCAAATCAGAACACTCAGTATCTTCCTCTATTACTTTCCTCCTTCACCCCCTCCTTCTCAGTTTTACTTGAGCAGAGATGGGAGAGAGGACAAATGAACATGTGGGCACCTGTGGGCCACAGCATACATCACAGGCAAATTATGGGAGGCTTTTATTTCCTTCTGTTTTGTAGGCTCTGGGGCTTTAACTCAGGTTCTTAGAGTTGGCAGCAACCGCCTTTACCTCCTGGGCTATCTTGCTGGCTGTCCATGGTACTTTTGAGACAGTGTCTCTCCCTGACTATGGAGCTCTCTGATTGGCTAGATTGGCCAGCCAGCAAGGCTCCTCATGTTTCTGCTGCTTCAGTGCTAGAATTAGAGGCATACTCTGCCTTCTGTGTGGATGGTGGAGTCCTGGATGCAGAGCTTCATGCTTCTTCAGGAAGTACTTGATCAACTGAACCATCTCCTCAGCCTCAAGACAGGCTATTATGTAGCACAGGCCGGCGTTAAACTCAATATGTAGTTGAGCACAACCTCGGGCTTATTTCTGATCTTCCTACTTTTACCTGATGAGTGTTGGCATTATAGTCTTGTACTACTATGGCTGGTCATATATTACTGGGCATCGAACTCTGATCTTGAAACATGCAAAGCAAGGGCTCTTTTAGCTAAACCACGCCCCCCGCTGCAGTATTCCCGATGTAAAGTGTGCCTCTCAGGTGCTCCTGGGGTGGTGCCATTCACCATGCAGCGAGTAAGCCAAGGCAGGCTGCCACTGGAGCCAGCACTATGCAGATGTGATCTGCAGCCTTTAAAACTGAGCACAACAGACCTCTTCTCCACAGAATGTCAGCCTGCCTCAGGGCCGTCATTATAGAACAAACCCAGCTACAAATGGACATTGTGGCACCCACCTGGAACTCCTAGATCTCAAAAGGCAGAAGGGGTGTGTGTGTGTGTCTGTGCCTGCTTTAGAACAGCCTGTCCTGTATAGCAAGCTTTAGGCTGCCAGCTGTATAAGACATTGTCTCAACAAACAACAAACACAAAAACAACAATGGAAAAAAAAACAAAAAACAAGCAAGGCAGACTTTTACCTGAATTTTCCTCCTGATCTAATAGAACACGGATGTCCAGATAGAGCTTGCACTGACTCTGTTGTCCTTTTCCCTCATGGTCTCTCTGTGTGAAGGTGCATGTACACATGTGTGTAGAAGACACAGTCAGTGTTTGATTGTCTTCATTAATCACTCTCTATGTACCACTCTAGCTGGCGGTGGGAACTTGGAGAATGGGGCTTAAAATGAGGCAGACTAAAGTCTCATGCAATAGCCAACTTTATTCAGAGCACCAGACAATTTATACTCTGAGGGTTAAAGTCACATGAGTAAAGTGTGCAATCAGAAAGACAAGCCGTACATGGCAAAAACATGTCTTTCCATAGAGGCATATAAAAAATAGCCAGTTGTAACAAGCAATCTGGAGTAAACTCACTCCTATCCACCACACCTAGGAGGGCTATGCAAGCATATTCCAAGAATAGTTTCGTGGCTTTGGAAAAAACTGAGGTCACAAGACTCTTGTCTTGTTTTCTTGGCAGTTTCTCACAAGCGCTCAGAATTCACCTGGGGCGGAATAGGATGGAGGGATGGCTCTGTTAAGAGCACTGCTCCTCCAAAGATCCTGTGTTCAATTCCCAGCAACCACATGGTGGCTCACAACCATCTGTAAAGAGATCTGGTGCCCTCTTCTGGCTTCACAGGACTTGATTCTTAGTGTCTAAAACTTTCCACCTTATTTATTTGTTTATCTTTATTTTGAGATCTCTCATGAAGCTGGAGTTTGCCTATTGACTATTGGCCAGCAAGACCCAGGGAATGTCCTTCCCATTTCCCTAACACTGCCATTACAGACGTGGAGTGCCATGCTTGGCTTTCCTTTTGGGTTCTGGGGAATTGAATTCACAAACTCTTTGCTGACTGAGCTCTCTCTTCAGCCCAAGACTCAAGACATTTGACAGTCTGAGAAAAACACACGTAAAACTTATTTTTCGAAGAGTGTTAAAGATGCTACAGACTTACCTCTTTTAAACACAAAGGGGAAAAAGGCACATAATCTACCAGTTATCACAAAAGGCAAATTTAAATGGTTGGGCTTCTCCGTTCTCAGATGAGGTTTGTGGCATTTTGACTCTGGGCTTAGATTCATGATTTTGAGGACTTTGAGTTTGTCCCCATGCAGATGTTTAAAGGTCCATATTGGTGCAGTTCTCCTCTTCTATTGTAGTCCTCAAAAATTTTCGCTTAGTCTGCACCATTATCTAAAATAGAACGGGCTGTTTCACCTGGTCATGCCATCTATAGTAAACATCTGAGAAAGTTCAAAGCATTGCCTTTGCCCTAGGAGCAGCGGACTGCGAAGAATGAGAGCTTATGGACACTTTGTTACCAAATAAAACTTACAACCAGGTTAATCCAACACATTTAATGTATGCATAATTGTTATTGTGCTGGGAGGTAATTAGGCATAAATGATAAGTAGTTCATGTAAATCACTATAATTAGAATTACTTTTACACAGCCAAATCAAGCATTTCTAGAGTCAGGGAGGGAGAGAATTAAACAGCCTTCGATTCTCGCTCTCCATTAATCAGGGCTGTGCAGAAACCCAGTTGGTTTTTTCATCCTTTGGGAGGCGACTCCATAGCCTGTTTGTGAGGAAGCAAGGCCAGGCCGCCCACCTACAGTAACATTTCACTTAACAGTGATTTGCCCAACAGTGGGCCACATATGCCGCTGTGGTTCTGTGAGATGGTTTTGGCTGAGACGCTACGGCTTGTGCGACTGTGCAGACAGCCCTGTGAACATAAAGCACCCACAGCTATGGGCAGGACTTTCTGCTTGGGGCTGGAGAGAACCGTTACTTGTCCACATGGGGCACTTGTAAAGCTAGAAGCTGTGATGGATTCTGACCTCCCATGGACCTACGATTAGCTCATTCTCATCCTTTCCTCCCTCCCTCTGTGTATGTGGTATGTATGTGGTATGTAAGTGTGTGTGTGTTGTGTGTGTGTGTATGAAGGTAAAGTTCAATGATGTTTTCAGATGACTCATACTATATATATATATATATTTCATATTCTGCTTATTTTGGGGGGTATATGTAGAGTCAGAGAACAACTTGTGGGAATTGGTTTTTCCTTCTGCCATGTGGGTCCTAGGACCAGACTCAGATCATTAGATTTGGCAGCAAGTGCTTTTGTTCACCTAGCCGTCACGCCAGTCTGCCACTTGATATTCTGACCCAAGGTCTCTCCTGGAATCTAGGACTCACTGACCAGATA